TTATGTTAAAAGCTAAAAATACATAATTTGTTGGCAACTAATTTCCCAAATAAGATATAAAAAAAAAAAAAATAGGCTTTTTTTTTTAAGTCTTTTTTTTTTTCCAAGTATTTTGAGGCCCTAAACAACTTTTACTTGGTCGGATTCGGGGCTAAATGGCTCTTTGGATAGGAAAGGTTGCAGACCCCTGCTTTATAGGGACAGTTAGCGTTTCTGATCACCGTCGCGCCCCCCCCCAGAGGGAAATTACTTTTGTTACAGTTTTATATAGATAAAATAATAAGAATAAAAACAGATAAAATATTTACACATATAGCTCTTCTGTATATATATCTGTACGTATATCTATGCATATGTAAGAACTAAATCCAAGTAAAGTGATAAATCCAAGTAAAGTGATGCGTGGCGTGCAAAAATAGTGCATAAATGTCAATTATGGGCGGGGTGGGGCTGAATCACTTGAGGGAGGCGTGATAGAGGTTGATGACCACAGGTAGGAATGATTTCCTGTGGTGTATCTGTGTAGGAGGAGTCTTCTGCTGATCTAGAAGCACTAGATCTATTTCCATCCATTCAGCAAAGGTCCTGCTACATGGCTGAACATCTGATTTTGGCATTTGACCAATTAGATGAGCCCTTGAATGATAGATTACCGACTGGAAATTAAGCTGAAAAAAAGTTTAAAAGTTAACTAAAAAGTAAAGAAAAAAAAAAGTAAACATCTAATTGAAAAGTTAATAAGTCTAGTTAATTATATTTAGTTTTATAAACTAAAAAAATGCAAGTATCAGCATTATGTTCAGTGTTTTTTTTTTTAAATTTTCTTCTAGAAGCACTTTTATTTTTCTTAATATTTCCATATTTTTTTAATGTTTCAAAGGTAACACGTTTTTTGTCCTGAATCAAATAACGCTTTAAGTATTTCAGTGACTATAGAGGTTTAAAGCTGCATATCTGGTTTCATTAGGTGTAAATTTAGGCTCTTTAACACAAATGGTTCATTTCAGGAACTAGAACCACTTCAGCGACTTCACACCTGAATGTGAAACTTTCAGTCCTGCTTTCAGTCAGCAGCGAAATGTGCGGTTAGTGTCCATCTGCAGGCAGACGGTTAATATCTCCAAATACGTTCAGTGTTCAGGAGGGATTTTCTGTCAATTCTCCCCCATGGCTGCTGTGGGAAATATTTTACAACCTTTTAAAGTCAGAAATCAAGATGGAATCGCTTTGTTTTTAAGCTTCAAATGTTTTCAAATCTACCTGATAAAAATGACGTCATTTGTCTTTTCATATTTATAGCCAGAAGTTCCTGTGTCGGGTTCATTTTCTATGCACCATATTTTACTTTGAGGCACGGCGCCATAAATGGCTCATAGTAAATGTGACAAAGTGTCACTGAGAAGCAAAAGATGTGTGAAACTTGCCTGGTAGGTAAAAGAACTGCTGTTGTGCTGCTGTTCCACGTCTCTTTGCTCATGCAGCGTTGCCGTCCCAAACCCTGAACTTGTTCTAAACGCCTCAGGGTGACTTTAGTCCGCTGAGGAGCTTTGACCAAGTCCAGGGGCGGAGACGTTAAACCTGCCTGAAGATCTGCAAACAAAAAATCCCCCTTACTCACCAATACATGCACTGAAAAGCAGAGACGTTCTGACTCTGAAATCCAGAGTTTAGCTGAGATATCTGCTGTGGAAGCATCTAAGGAGAGAGGGAGGGAAAAAAGCCTCTCACCTGCGTGAGCGTGGAGCCGTCTGGCCTCCTTCCTCTGCAACTGAGAGAGAGCGCAGTGCGGAAGAATTTTTAAATGTGGGCTGAAAGAGGAACTGCCCGCAAAACGTTAACTGAGCCACTTCCTCAAATTAAAACAGGAAACTTTGTGCAGCCTAATCTGATGGACAGGAGAACGATGGGGGGGGGGCTGAACCTGAGCAGCTACCAATGTCTCTCCTCTCCAGGTCGCAATCAGAGGAACCAGGCATCGCCATTTGAGGAACTGAACACTGACCCGTTTTGTCAGCCGGCCAACGTGGAGAACAGCTGAATTGTTCGGTATTCAAATGTGCTGCAGAGAGGAAGGTTAATTTGGTTACTTCAGCTTCAGACTATCTTCCCACAGGCCTGAGGCGGCAAAGTTAGTCCTAAAACATCTCATCTGCAACCATCAGAAGATGCGAGCTTTTCAGAGGGGAAGAAGTGGGGATCAGTGGACATGTTCTTTACCTGCCAGGCCTCCTGATACTGATGGACTTTGAGAAGATAAGCAAAGCTTCTCCTGCTCTGATAACGAGACGCTGTGTTAAAATTATAGTGCTGCTGTTAAAAGAGGAGGAGAGTTATACTGAGAGACAAAAAACACTTTTTAGTGCACACCAGTTATACTTTCTCATATCTGTCGTATTTTATCTTGCTTTAACTCTATATAAGCTACTGGAACCAGAATTTCCTCGAAGGACTAATTCCAAGGGATAAATAAAGCTGAGTCTAAGTCGGACCTCTTGTTTTTTTAATTTCCCTCATCCAAATTTCAAAGCAAAAAAAAACTCTTATTTTTGTAACTTTGTATCGTCCACCAGGTCCTGACTCTGGATTTTTATTTTTAGTTCCTTTCTGATTTGGTATTAAATACTGACAGGGTCATCATAGTGGGAGATTTTAACATC